AAAAGTCATTCCTTTTTTGTTTGAAATTCTCTCTTATTCCTAAGCGTTATACCAAGGTTTAGTAACGATTTACTAAACCTCAAGTGAGATGCTTGGAGTAATGGAGGTATCAAGGTTTGCTAAAACATGAGACTTAAATAACACTATTCAAAGTGTTTTTTCACTTAGCAATTCAAAACTCTTCTACCATTAATTGTTGAGGCCCAAGGCCTTGTAAAAGTAGAGATTCTTATAGACTTGACCCAACAAGCCCAATTGATTGGAAATGCAATAGGCTTATAAGAATTGTTCATTGGGCTTTAATATCTATTAAAGCTAAAGAAGTCCAACCCCCTGAAAACACCTTATTTAAAAATTGAGAAACGAGTTTCATCCCCCACCTGACCTAACCCACACTTTTTAATTTAGCCTTAAAGATAATATCGAGAAAGGACATTATAAATTCGAAGTCCGCCCACACTCTATCTTATTATCTTAAACCTTTAATTCTTGCATAAATCCTAAATCTAAATTATCATTACCTTTGAAATTATTTGTTTAATGAAAAAATACTTCTATTTTTCAAATTTCACCCAGTTAAAACTAATATTTTGATTCTAAAATTGAAATGGGAGAAATGGGTGTAAATAAAAATATCCAAAAGGACTGCAGGGTACATTGAGTATTCAATGGGGTTTAAGGAGAATTTTTTAAATTTAAAATTGGTGTAATTAATAATGGGGTGTACTGATCAAATTGGTGGAGGCTAAAATTGGTGTTAATTAAGCCCCACTAAAAATGGGCTTTGAAGTGTTTTATAGTTTTTGTTCCATAACTATGATTAAAACAATTTTTTCTTGAGTGGTGTTAAAACAATTGAAACTGAATGGGGCATTGACCCGGTCAAGGGCGGTCAGAACGATCGATTAGATGTTGACAGCAGCAACAAAAATATCTTTAAAAGATTCATTTAGTCTCTAAAATTTTAATATATTGCAACAATATCCCTAAAAGTTTTAATTAGTCCATAAAATTTAAAGATATAACAAAAATGCCCCAACAAAATTCAGTTAGTCCCTAAAGTTTTGAAATATTAAAACACCCTTAGAAAATTACAAATTAGTCTCTTCAAATTTGAAATCTAATAAAAAAAACCATTGCAACCTAAACCAGACCGGAGAGGCTGCTGGTTCCTGGTCGAACCGGTCCGATCTAGTCCAGGTTTCAGAACATTGAGCCCCACTAATTATCTTTCTAAGCCCTAACAATTATTGAAATCATTTTTAAAATACTACGTACAAATATGTTTCAATTTATTCCAAGACTACCCTTTTTAATTTTTTTTTTTTTCCTAACTCTCTTTGTTAACCCTTTTTATTTTCTCTCTAGCGTTTAATTTCGGTCGCTATTTTCTCTGTCACATTAAATTTCAGTTGCTATTTTTTATCTCAAGTTAACTCTCAATGCATTTTAGTTTCCATCTTTTACCTCAAGTTAACTCTTAATGCATTCATTTAACAACATATTTCGTCTTTAAAACCTATTCACCACTCAACTACATTAATTTCATTATTTACTGTTTGGATGATAGAAGACGAGGACAATGTTGATGGAAGCTGTCAAGCAAAAATCTTGCTATAAGAGGAGGGCGATGGGGGCCTTGTTCATTATCAGGTATTTTCAAAATTTGTTCATTATTTTTATCATTATCTGAAATGAAATGAAATGACCTTTATGTCTTCAATAAGTAGAGGTGGCAAAGGCTTGGGCCCAGTCAATCTTGGGCCTGGGCCCCCAAGATCCGAGCCCAAATAATCAAGGACCGGTCCTAGACCCATAAGATTTCTCATGGCCCAGACCCACCTGTCCTATGGGCCTAGACAATTTTTTTTTGTAAAGTTTCATTTTAACTCTATATTTATTATCAATTTCATATTAAATAAGGCGTTTGTATATTTTACAGTGGTTAAAAGGAAATTGGAGGAGGGACCGGCCCTGGGCCCGGGCCCTTTTTCCCTTGGGCTTGGTTCGGTCCTCTCAAGGACTAGTCCTAAGACTGGTTTTTTGGGTTGGGCTTTTTGGGTACGAGCTAATTCTCACCTCTATGAATAAGTAAAAACTATGGACAAAAACTAATGGTAAGTAAGGTGATTGGATAATTTACATAATTAAAAGATTAACTTGTCAATTTCACAAACTACAAAGGAGATGATTACAATAAACCACTTAAACTAATTGACAATTTTACGATTAAACCAATTATTGCACCACTTTTTAGAATGAGAGAATAAGAATTCAGATATAATTTATTTGAATAGTTAAAATAATCTTGAATATTATACAATAAACTATAAATTTTTATATATTTAAAAAATTTAATAATACTCAATTTTATTTCTCAAAAGTTTCTAGGGTTTTAATAATAGAGCCACGTCTCAGTCCACCATTGAAATTTCAACGAAGTCCTATCAACTTTGTCTTCAAAAAGTTTATTTACCCTTCAAAAAATTTGAGGTATAATTTTGATATATACTAGAATAAATGGGGTTTAATTAACACTTCCCTTGTGGTTTTCAAAATTGACAAAATAGCTCCTTGGTTATACAGATTATCCAACCACCTCCTCTATACGGATTTTGACTACTAACAGACAATATTACCTCTACAAAAAATTTTAAAAAATTAAAAAAAGGTCTAAAACAAAAAATTCTTAAAAATACCGAAAAATCTTAAAATTATATTTAATTTTTTAAAAAACAAAAAGAATAAAAAATCATAAAAAGTTTTGGAAAAATAATTGAAAGCCTACCAAGTTTAAAAAATTTCTTAACATTTATTATTTTTTGTTTTTAATTTTGTAAAAACTTATTTTTAGGTCATTGCATAAATAAAAATTGTTTAACAGTTAGTGTTAACGGAAAAACTGACGATAGAGGAGGTGGTTTGACAATTCAAATAACCAAGAGAACAATTTGTCAATTTTGAAAACTACGTGGGAGTTGATTGGTTTAAACCCATAATAAATACACTTCAGTAGTTTTCATATATATATCCTTTGCTTTACAGTTGGATAAACCTTAAACCAAGAAAACGTTTTCTCGCTGAAAGTGTTTCTGTAAAGTCACTTCAATTTTGTGGTAGTAGAAAAAGGTATATCCTCGTTGTGAATAAACCCATAATAAATTTAATGATTAAAATTTGTCGACCCCAATTAAAGCTGGGTTTCTGTCGACAAATATCAGCTTCTATACAGTATATTTTAAATCATTTTGTGGTCCTTAATTTACGTTCTAAAATACTTGTTTAAATTTTCTGAGCATTGGAAAAGACATTGCAGCCAAATTTAAGAGTTTGGAGCGATTTTGTTTAGAACTTCAGAAAGAGTTGGAAAGTGTATGGGCCATCTTGTATCATTCTCAAATCTAATTATTTAATTTGAAATTTATTGTCACTGCACACAGCGAGATCATACGTAATTATGTCTATGAATTATTTAATATAGTGTAAACATACAGAGGATTATTTAATTTGGCGTAAACACGCAGAGGATTATAGCTACTGAGAGTTGTTACTTTAACAGGAAATACATGCATGCCATTTCCATACAAAGCAAAATTTGACAGTCTTTCTGTGGAAGCATGCTCTGCGTTCACAATGCTCTTTGAAGCTTTTTTTGCAACTTTTAAAGCCACGATTCAAACACAACCCAGCTGCAAGAATTTGCTAAGAATGCAGGTGAAATTGCAGCCTTTGATGATCAATGACTTCGTTCAAAAAGTAAAACAATTAATGCATGCATTCACAAAAGGCTGCAGGAACCATATTGCATGTATCAATTATCATAATGGACGTCCATATGATTCATATATTTATTTTGAGTAGCCACGTGGGTATGCTATTTCATGGGATTAATGGAGAAAATAAGGTTATTATTTATATATTTTAAGCCCTTTTATATTATATAATCTTGTCTCAACTTTCACATGTGTTTAAGATTTGTTACTCAACTTTATGTGGAAAGAGAGAGCTGACTATGGTAGACAAACATAGAAATCACAAGAAGATAATTTATAAGAGTCAGCTACCAGAAATGTATTTTTCAAATGACATCACACAAAGGGGCGTTTCATTTTACAAATTGTTTGGAAAAAAGATTCTAAATCACATTGGTTACAAACATATTGGACTAATATAAAGTTGAGTAATAACCTACAAGTTTAATTTTTTTGTTGGAATAGCAACTTAATATGGTATTAAAGTCAAATGTTACAAGTTACCATTGCAAGTTCTTATGCCGGCAGAGTTAGGTTGCCAGAAGATGGATTTCCATTTTCTTGGAACCATAGCCACATCGAGGCACAATTGAATTATGGCAGTGAAGAAAAAAGAAAAAAAATCCAAGTTTCATGTGAGATGACCTATTATATTAGTATAATATTGAATCCTTACTTATTAGGTTAAGCTTTTAAGTAGGATGACAACTTAACAAGATAAAGTAAAATTTTGGACTTCTGTAGAGTGTCAATTTCATTGAAATGAAGGAATTTAGTTTCGTTCTTTTTAATTCTTCAAAGTTGGAAAGCTTCGTTAACGTAATTAAAAAGGGATTTGAATTCTTGATTTCTAGGCTAAGGCTTCATTAGTTTATAGATTTGAGCTGATTTTTCTTCATATAATTCCTGAAATTGTTTGGATTTTTAGACAGCTTGTCCTTTCTTGAAACAAAATTTTTGTCTCTTAGAAAAAAATAAGTGTACATTGTTCCGTATAAATTATAATAAATCGCATTAAGCACATTACAAGTCCAACATTAATTGCTATATATTGGTGATTAAAGTTACAACAATAAGACTTTTTGTAACATTAAACAATATTAATGTAGCCAAGCTTTTAAATGCTGCCTCACTTCAACAAAAGAGTAAAACAAAACTCTCAGCCTTTTAAATGGAAGCATCGTCACTTTCTTCTCTTTCTTGATTCAAATTTTCGAAATTAATCCAAAGCCTGCAGGATTATTGATGATGATGCCAACTGGGTTCAGATTCAATCCCACTGATGAAGAGCTCATTCATATACTGGAAAAAAAAGTAACTGGCCAAGAAATGCTTCTCCAGAACACTTTCATTGTTGAAAGAAACGTATATGAGCTTGATCCACAAGATCTTGAATGTGTGTTAAACTTATTTCTTCTTTCTTCACTCTTCGTTTGTCTTATTAACTTCTTTTTATTCTGGTAAAGTTTCTGAGTTTAGGTTTCTCTTATCATCTTTTGCCATCCTCTCGGAGTTTTAGGTTCTTTTATATATATATATATATATTATATTTTTGTCTTCTTAAATCTGTTTTGTTTTTTCAAAAAGACAATTTGTATTAATCTTTATCATACAAAACAAGAAAAAAAAATCAAGTTTGGTTCTTTGAATTTCATAAATTGATTAGCTTTGATATCTTTTTTTTTTGGGGGGGTAATTTCCTGTCGATTCATTCAATTTGTAAAACTATATATTAGCTTTGATATTTTATTTATTAATTGACTTAGAAATAATGAAATTAAAAGTCAAAACGATTTTTTTATTTATATAATCCATGATCATGAATGAGATAATCACTATTAATTTAAGATATTGTCAAACATATTATTTTCAATTAAACTTAATTTGTATAAGTTTTTTCTTATATAGACACTTCTTATTGCTTCTCTGTTGATTTAACTTGAATTGATTGATATTAAAAAAATACTTAACAGAGTCATTTTCGTCTAATCAATTTATGCTGATTGATTTTGATATAGGGGATCGCACGGTGCTCTTATCGAATAATGAGAGATATTGTTATTATCTTAGGGAAACTGATTCTAGAGAAGTATCAGGTCGAGGATGGTGGAGAGCTACCGGCCATGTTAAGAAAATTTACGCTAAAAAGGGCCATGTGATAGGCTACAAGAGGCCGTTGACATTTCTTCGGTTCATCAATAGGGAAAGAAAGCGTAAAAATTCCTTCAAGACTAATTGGATTATGCATGAATATAGCCTACATTCCAACACAACGGTTAGTGCCGTCTCATGCTTAATGAAATTTTTTCTTAAATAATCTCTCTATTTTCTTTTTCATTATTTAATGTCTTTTCTTGTGAAATCTAACGATTGTGAACAGTCTTTTATTATTAGAGAGTGAATTTTTTTATCTTTTACTTCCTTTCCCTTGTTCCTTTTTTTCTTAGCTCTTTGAAATTGGGATTTCCCAACTGTTACTATGCATGTTGATCAGCTTTATGAACTTCTGTTTATTTCATTTCACCTTCTTAATTAAACTTTAAAGATATTTGTCATAGGCTAATGATATAATATAAAGGATGTACATAGTTAAAATGACTATTTTCTTGCAAATTTTTTTTTTCCGAATTAATACATGGATTATGCATACCTAATTATATATATTCAGAATTTATCCAAAACTAACCATAAAATATATATGAAAACCCTCTTAAACCTCTTTCAAAACTGTCATAAATCTCCCTTGAAGTTTAATAAAAATTATAAGAAACCATTTCAAAACCCTCATAAATCTTCTAAACTAAGTATATTTGAACTGTAACTTGAAGAAATTCTATATTTTAACACATGCCCTTTTGCTTAAACACATGAAATAAATAAGTGGACATAGGATAGACAAATGTGTTTTCTTTTTTATCAGCTATATGTACTTTCCTTAAAATTAATTAATTTTTCAATTAATTTTGCAGAAATGGAGAATTTGTAAGATCAAGTATAAAGGAAAAGAAAGCATAAAAGAAGAGCTGAAGAACATCAGAAAAGGTCACATCTCAAGGAATGATTTGAAAGCCACCGGTTCAACAATGGAACAGGAGAAACAGCCAGCACCTTTAGAGCTAGACTACATGTATGAATCTTATTCTGAAGGCAGCAACTCAACTGGAATGATGCTGGATTTTGTTTGTAATCAACAGCAACCTTATATAATTTTAGGCAAAACATGCAAATGGAAGAGATTGATGAGCAAAAGCAGTACCCAAAAGGTTCATATGATCCAATCTTGACTCACATTACGACTGCAAATTATTACTTTGACATGCAGTTCGAACAACCAGATTCTCTAGAAGAAATATATCCAAGCCTTTGGAATTGGTAGAACTACCTAGGATTGACCAGGCAGTATGTATGTTCGATTTCTTTCAGGATAGGATTAACCAGGCAATATTTTGAAGATTTTTTTTTCTTCTTTCCATCAACAATATTGTTTGTATTAGCTAGGCTTAAGTATTAGTGTTAGCCTCTTTATCCATCGGTTTAAATATTTGGATTAGGTGATAAATAAGCATTGAGAAATGTGAAACTCTATGATACTGTTGGGAGAGTAAGTTGTTGGTTAACTCACTTTAGTATAAGTTTACCCATTTTAAGTGCAGCGGAAGTATTACCAAGTTGATTAAGACATTTCTAATTTAACCGCATCAAACATAAGTGCGAAAAATAAAGAATACAACCATATACATGGTTCGGCTAAAATCTACTTTTAGCCTACATCTATGGGACCTTGTCCAGATCGAAGCAATTTACTAAGTTAAAGACACATTACAAGATAAAGTTCAAAGTTGATCTAAGATACAGTAAAAAGAACTCTCGGTTCAACTTTACACTTAGCACCACACTCTGAATCCTTAACGTATAGCAACTTCTTAGATCTTCTTCTCACTGGGAACACACCTGAAATCAGCTTGTGAACCACCAAACTTCAAGCACCGACGCCACGCACCAACATCAACAAAGGAACCACATTCCAAGAGATTCCTTCTTTTGGTTTGGACCACAAAATAGATCAGGAAATATAACTTTATTCCCTAGGACCACTTAAAGATACTATGACACATGTAAAAAGGTCCTAAAAAGCTAGAGACAAAGATAAACAATATCTTTTTTACTTTATCAAACATACAACTCGTGTTGGGTTGCAAATATCTGAAGCGAGAGTGTAACCACAGACTATTGTGCATACACACTTGAAATAAAACAAGCCAAGACACAAGTCTAGCAACCAATGTGCACACAGAACTGATGTGCACACATACGACAAAGGAAGCAAGCCAAATCATAAGATTGGCAACCAGTGTGGACACATAACTGTTGTGGACACACAACTCATAACTTTGACAACTATGAATATTCCACATTCTCCCCCTTTGTCAAACTTATGAACAAATAGCATAATAAAAGAGATCAAGTGCAAACCCATTTCAATCAACCAATCAAACCTACATATTTGCAAGAAACAAACATACGAACAAAAAGAACCAAAAGCAACACAAGTATGAACACAAGGTTAGCCAATGAAACATCAAGGTAAAATAACTAAAAGGTTCTACAGAAACATAACAAAAACAGTAGAAAGAAAAATAACTAACTCCCCCATGGAGAGATAACAGCAAAACAGTTCATAGTTTAGCAATAAACAAAACAAAACAAAACAAAAAAAAAAAAAAAAAAAGCAAAACAAAATTTTAAAATTCACTCCTCCATAATGCTTACTCCCCCCCTTTGTTCATAAGTCTTGAAGACTTTCGAGAGGGTAACGATGTACTATTAGCTTTCCTCTTGACTCTTCTCTTGGGAGGAGTAGCGATGGTGACATGAGTATCCTCCATTTTAACATTTGGGGCAACATTAGATGTGGTTTCAGCAATTTCATGAGAGGATTCATCTTTTGTCCAAGTTCAGTTTGAATAGGGGAAGCTTCATATCAAACTCCATTTTGTCCATCCGAGCATTGAAGGAAAGAGGAATCTCCTTCACATATTGGAGAACATTCTCCATGGAAGTCTCCAAGTCTTGTATAGCAACAAAAAGCTTGGACTGCCAAGTGTTAGTCCTTGTGTGTTTACCCGAGGAGGTGGAAAGAATGTTCCCTGATGGTTGTCGAAAAGATTTTTTGGTGACAGTCTTTATTTTCAGCAAGGGCTCCACTTCAGAAAATTTTGGTTTGTGGGTGGAGATGATCTTGTAAATGAGGGAAGAAAAGGGTAAAAAGTAGAGAGAATGCACGGATTGTGTAGCCACTCTAACACTTGTGAAAATCAATGCGGCTAAGTTTATTTTCTTCCCTTGTGCAATCCCATATAGAAGTTGTGCTCTTTCTGGTCTAATAGTGGAATTGTGCATTGAGGGAGACCAATTAGTAAGAGAGATCTTAAACAACAGGCGGTAAAAGGGTGTGAGTGCACTAAGCTGAAGAACTCCACTTCTTGGCCATACAACAATTGAACCACCAGTTATAACCTTAATAATTTGGTCTAATTCCAAACTGGTCAAATCAAAATTTTTCTTAGCCTTTTTCAGATCTAAGGCATCCCTAACTACCTCTTCATTGAAAAGAACCCAATGACCTCTAACATAAACTCTGTCATTGTGCACATCAAAGTTTTGTTCAGCATCATCAATGCCAAAATTGGCGTAAAACTCTTGAACAAGAGTCTGAATGGGTGCAATCAGACCCGAGACAGTATTAATCCATTTTTGTTTCTTCATCATGGCATGAAAGTCATCAAAATCATCTAACCTAACATTTACCTTGCACACAATTGTCTTTTTGACAATGTGACTCTTAAATCTAACCTCGACAGCAAGCAAAACAAAAGGAGAGATTTTACCAGTTGAAGCCTCTTCCACGATTGCCTTCCCTTCCTTCTTCGCCATCTTTGTTGGAGTCAAGGGCTTTGATGGACCAGCTTTTGCAGGAGCAACCTTGCGAGATTTGAGAGTGGCAATGGGAGTGTTGTCTGAGGCATTGTCGGATGCCGAAGGGGATTTTTCTGGTGACTTTTCAAGTGAGGCAGGGGCAAACTCATCTGGTGAGCGCACAAAGTCCTAGTGATAATTGGAAATAGGGGAAGAGACAGGTGAGGATGAGCAGTTGGTTTCTTCCTCGTAGGATTCCTTTAGAGTGGCAAAATAAGACTTCGGTGGGGTTTGCTCTTTCGTTGGCTTTTTTCTTGAGGCGGTTGGATTTCTTCAGATCTTGAAAACCCTTTTTGAGTGATTCCTTCGTGGCCTCTCTCTTCGGGTTTTCAATTGCTTTCTTTCTTGAATCCATGAGAGAAAAACAAAAAAATCAGAGAAAATTTGAGAGAAAATTGTGAAGAACAGAGAAAACAGGCAGCGTAATAGGTTTTAAAAAATGAAGACTGACGCGAAAAAGATTAGGGCAAACATTTATGGTAGGCAATGATCTGAAGCCCTAAAGAGAGTTTTACCAAAAATAGAATTCTATCCTAAGTGAGTGTACATAAGCAATCGTGTGAGCACACAACATTCCAAAAGAACATTAGAAAATTTCAAAAGACTATACTTTATTGAACAAATTTAAAAGCATAGGAATTTAAAATGATGAAATGCTTCATATGAATTTTTTAAGGACAAGATAGTCAATTTGTGCAAAACATTGTAATAGATCAGATTGTCAATCTTAAAAGGCACAATTTCTCATAAGAAAGTTGTCAACATAATGCAATCAAAACAACACTTCCTCAATCACACATGAGAAATAAAGTCATATAAGCTTGTCTAAGTGTGTGATAGTGTCCTCAAGAGGGTTAAATGACACATTGGTCAAATAATATTTTGCAAGAGAATCTCCCCCTTCCCTCATGCCCTAATAATTTTTTTTTTTTTTTTTTTTTTTTGCATTTTTCTTTTTCGACATAGCAAATAAAAATTTTTCTTTTCATTTTGATCAAAGGGCAAATAACTCTAAAAAAAACATAACTAAAATGTAGCTTTCACATTTGCAAGAAGGTAGTCCTCTTAATGGTAGATTTTTCAAGACATAGAAGTCTCTACAAATTAGAAAATTACTTAAAATAACTTTCACACTTCAAGCAAGCTAGCTCATTCATAATGGTGACAAGAATGGACAAACAACTCATGATGAGATAAGGTCATGTTATACAGAGTCTCAGTGGACACAACATACTAGAGTTAGTACACAGATAAGAGAAAATGAATGAAAATTAGAGTATTAGCACATATCAAAGGACTTGACAAACAAAAATAAAAGTTGCATGTTCATGCTTTATTCATCAACTGAAATGAAAAACTACTAGTTGAAGTAGTCCAATGGACTTCCTCAAGAAAACAAAAGTATCATAGTCAAGTGCTTTTGTAAAAAGATCAGCCAATTGAGATTTTGTGTTCACATGAGCAAGTGCAATGATGTTCTCCTCAACTAATTCTCTAATAAAATGATGTCTTATGTCAATGTGCTTAGTCCTAGCTAGAATGCTAGGTTGGATTCTTAGAGATATTAATGGCACTCGTGTTATCACAAAATACTGTCACACAATCTTGATCAACACCATAATCAAACAACATTTGCTTTAACCATAAAATTTGAGTGCAACAACTCCCTACAGCAATGTACTCAGCCTCGGCAGTGGATAGGGAGATTGCATTTTGCTTCTTGTTGTACCAGGTGACAAGATTGTTTCCAAGGTAGAAACATCCACCAGAAGTGCTCTTTCGATCATCCAAACTTCCTACCCAATCTGTATCACTATATCCAACCAAGCAATTGTTAGAATCAAATGAGTACCAAAGACCAAAATCACACATACCTGAAACATATTTCATGATTCTTTTCATTGTATTCAGGTGCAACTCAGAAGAATTAGCTTGAAATCTAGCACAAACACCAACACTAAAACTAATATCAGGTCGATTTGCAGTTAAGTAAAGAAGGCTTCCTATCATGCTTCGGTACATCTTATTGTCAACCTTTTTACCATGTTCATCTTTGGACAGCTTAAGGGTAGCACAAATTAGGGTTCTTTTCAACATGTTTCTAGCATACTTTGATTGGGAAACAAACATGCTATTTTCCATTTGTTTAATTTGAAGTCCAAGAAACATATTCAACTATCCTACCATACTCATCCCAAACTCATTTTTCATCAAACTAATGAATTCTAGTGCATGTGAATGAGATGTAGAACCAAACACAATATCATCAACATAAATCTGTGCACACAAGATTTCACTGTTAACACAC